ACCCCTGTTTTAAGATCTGAAATCTTAACTCTGTTTTTCTCTCTGCACAGACGCTGCCTGACCAGCTGAGCACTTTTTATGCAAATTTCACATTTCCAGCATTTGCAGTGTACTGTTTTACACTAAATTGAGCTCATGTACCATCAAAGATGTATATAGAAGATGTTATGGCATTATTGTGAAGAAGAGTGGATGGGCTCTTTCCAGTATCCTTGTCAATATTGATCCCTTAACCCAAATTACTGGAAGATTGATCGGCCATTTACCTCAAAGCCATTTGAGGAAACTTGCTATAAACCAAAATTGGCTGCTACATTTTCTACATTACCACAAGACTACATTTCAGAATTGCTGTAACGTGCAGTGAAACATCCTAAAAATGGTACGTCAATGCAAGTCTATCCTAAATCATGATATGTTTTGCATCACATTCAGGGTCACCTTCAGTCCATCTTGTCACAGTTTAACCAACTCTTAAACTGCTCCAGAGCTTTTGTCTCACATAAAGTTGACTGATTGGTCAATGTACTGACTGCAATGCTGCTCCTTTCTGTGGGAATAAATTGATTCACAGAAAAGCCTTGGAAAGTGAATGTTCCTCAATAGTATTTGGTCTTTTGTTGCAGGGTTATTTGAAAGCACAAACATTTTCTAGCCACTATGTATAATAGGCAAATCACATAGGTAAGAATACATTATATACTGTGTGGGCTGTAGATCTTTCCTGAGATAAAGTGCCCAGAAATGAATGCATTCCTCCGGATGGGCCCTGTACAACTAAAGGATGACATCCATTTGTATTCCCGTCACTCTTGGAGAAAAAGGCCAACGTTCCATTATGAATAAATGAATTAACTTTACTGACATATGTACTCAAGTGGGTACAGTGAAATGTTTGTAAGTCACCACTCATGCCACCATCTTAGGTACAAAGTTACATAGGTGCAGATTCTTCAGTACAAGTTCTTAGGGAAAAAAAAATTAGAAAAATAAAAAAATAAGAAGTCCAGCATTGCAGATTTGCCTTTTTTGATTATTTTCTGTATCCGATAAATAATGACTCAGTTCTCCACTTTAACCTGACAAATAACCTGTCTATACAGTCACAGAGTGGAACTCTATTAAAGTGAAGATATTAATGTTACTGAAGAGTCAATGCATCTGCAGGTCAAACTAAGGACAACACAGCTATCAATCATAAGCTCGTGGAAACTTTTGACAATTTGCATAAGGGAGCACTTGTCAGGTCTGCAATAAGCAGTGTTGCTATTTGCCTGGGAGCTTATGGGTGCCACAGGTTTTATCTTGTACCTTTTGGCTTGCAACAAACAAACCTGCCCAGTTGCCTGAGGGGCTGCTCTGTTTGAACAGGAGAATATGTCTGCGCGTGTGCTGGCATCTGGCCCCCAGGCAGCTAGAACAATCTCAATTGAGCTTTACAACAAAATATTCAATCAAAAAGCAGGAAGTATGTTCTGAAATGTAGTAATTATCACTAACTGATGAACACAACAGCCATTTTGGGTGTATTAGGTTTCCACAAAGCATGATCATTAATGAGTGATTGAAGGTGGTGGTAGACAGGCTGTGAATCGTTTTAACTAATTCATGGGATGTAGGCATCAATGGCTGGGCCAGCATTCATTGCCCATCCCTACTAATAGAGTCGCAGACTCATAGAGATGTGCAGCACAGAAACCGAATCTTCGGCCCAACTCGTACATGCTGACCAGATACCCTAAATTAATCCAGTCCAATTTGCCAGCATTTGGCCCATACCCCTCTAAACGCTTCCTATTCATATACCCATCCAGATGCCTTTTAAATGTTGTAATTGTACCCAATTCCAGCACCTCCTCTGGCAGCTTATTCCATACACGCACCACCCTTTGCGTCAAAATGTTGCCCCTTAGGTCCCTTTTAACTCTTTCCCCTCTCAACGTAAACCTATGCCTCCAATTTTGTACTCCCTGGGGAAAAAACCTTGACTATTCACCCTATTCATGGCCTTCATGATTTTAGAAACCTCAATAAAGTCACTCCTCAGTCTCCAACACTCCAAGGAAAATAGTCCTAGCCTATTCAATCTCTCTCTATAGCTCAAACCCTCCGACCCAGGCAACATCCTTGTAAATCTTTTCTGAACACTTTCAAGTTTAACAGGTTTAACTTGTCCTCAAGAAGCTGATGGTCAACTGTCCACTTGAACCGCTACAGTCTGTGTGTTGTAGGTAAATCCACAATGCCAATAGGGAGGGAGAGGTAGGATTTTGACCCAGTGACAGTGAAGGAATGTTGATATATTTCCAAGTCAGATGGTGGTGTTCCCATGTATCTGCAGCCTTTGTCCTTTTAGATAAAAGTGGTCATGGGTTTGGAACATGTTGTTTAAAGAGCTTTGGTGAATTTTCGCAGTGCATCCTTTAGATTGTACACACTGGGGTTACTGAGCATCACATTATCTCTTTATCTTTGGTCTTATACATCATAGTCATTTCAGATTTTAAAATAATTAGTTTATTTGATTATTGTACAATACGAAAATGGCTTATACCTAATAACCCAACATTGCAAGTGTCTCAATCCTTCTCTATGTCAGATGGCAGGTTTGATAAACAGGGATTTCACAAGCTCACTGAAATCCCTTGTAATCAGAGCTTATGTTAGACAAATACAAAATAGTTGAGCATGTAGTGAATGCAGCATACTCACATGAAAACAGGTGGCTTTGGGTTACAAGAATTTGGAGTATGGTTCTCAAAGATTTCTATATTTGGGCCTCATGACTGGGTATGTTATAAATTAATTGATTGAGATTGATTATTATTGCATCACATGAATATCAGGGTGGTTGAAGGAAATTAGATATGCCCTGGATGAGAGAGTTCTGTAGCCTAGTGGTAGCAACACCACCTCTGGACCAGGAGAGCTGGCTAAGTCCCAACTGCTCCAGCAGTGTGAAATAACATCTCTAAAAAGGTTGATTAGAAGATATCTAGACCGTGGATGGGCTTGGTCCAGGAATTCCTGCACACTATTAATCTTTTACAGTGTGCCTAATGCCTGGTGGATGAACCTTTCTCACTGACTGGTGAATGTCCGGATAGGAAAATTGGCAACAAGTGAATATACCTGGAGCATTAAGTGAAAAGTGTGATTACAAATGTGCCCATGTTTTCTTTAATCTGGCATTTGGGCTATTACTGCCATTAGCGATAGCACAGGTTGCACAGGTGACAATTGCAGTTGAAGGAAATTCAGCAAAGTCTCAGTTGTTTCAGTCTGTGGCAATCACAGAGAGTGCAAAAGGTGATCAGCGATGATTCTTAATTCATTGTCATTTTGTTATCATTCATTCACGGGATTTGAGAGTTAATGGGAAGGGCAACTTTGCACATTTTGGACAGATTACTTGGACATTTATGAGGGCAGTTGTGCATTTGATTTATTTTCTTGAAGTGCCTGGATAACTTATTCAGAAGTTATCAGGTCATCAGGTTATAGTTCAACGGGTTTATCTGAAATCACAAGCTTTCAGAGCGCTGCTCCTTTGACAAGTGAAGTTACTTCACCTGACGACGGAGCAGCGCTCCGAAAGCTTGTGATTTCAAATAAATCTGTTGGACTATAACCTGGTATTGTGTAACTTCTGACTTTGTGCACCACAGTCCAACACCAGTCAGTGGGACCAAAACTAAGACGCTTTTCTTCGTGGATAAAGTTTGTTAACTACTGAGTCTTACAACTCCTTATGCACACCAGCTCCATCTATTTCCCTCCTTTTTAAAATCAATATGATTGGCCATCACATGCTCATTATCATCACATGCTGAGGTGGAAACTGAACCTAGACAGTTGGCCCAGAGATAAGAATACTACCATTACGCAACACGACTGCTAAAAAGGCATGTTGCTTTTTGATTTATCACCCAAATCACCCAATCAACTAATTAACAAATATTAAATTATATAAAAAGATGGAAAAAACAAGAGAGAAGTCTGAATCAAAATAGACTATGGGGTGGGGGGAGGTGGTGGAATAGTGCACCCTGTGGTACCCACAGCTCCCTAAAACCATCAAAGATCTGTTCCCCTTTAGTTTTCCCTAATCAACCTGTTCAGAAATTTTGTTACACACCTCTGCAGCGGGTGGGAATTGAACTTGTGTCTCCTGTCTCAGAGGTAAAGACACTACCACAGCATCACAAGAGCCCCTCTATTCTCCATTTTGTTTTGTATCCAGAAGAGCTCTTACACACAACTGTAACCCATCACCGAACGACCCATTGTATTTTCTTTTCATCCATTAACCAGCACCAGTAACTCAACCATGTTTTCCAATTGATTAATTTACATGCAAAGGCCATTAAGGACAATGCAGACCATCAAAGCTGAGGGAGAGGTAGGGAGAGAAGGGACAACTATTCCTCTTTGATTCTGTCCAGTCAATTAATTAATCAGTTGACATCAACCATCTACTTAACCATTTGCTAAAATGACACAGTTCACAAGAAAACTGAATTCACTGCTCCAAATCCAGAGTAGTGGCAGATTAAAAAGTGCAAGGGCATGAGTCATGTTAGGAACAAATAATGCCAGATAGAGACTGTTATGGGAATGCATTAAATGTGTTTACAATTGCTCAGCGTATGTATTATAAACCCCGTGAGATTCACTCCCATTAAGCCATTATCTTGTTAACATCTCTCACTCACAATAAAATGAAATTGCAATCTATAGGCAGAAAGCTGGGGTCCAAATTACAATCTTTTCAAGAAATCTCTCCCAGCTTTAGCTTCTTGCATCAAGGTACAGTCAAGGATCGGATTCTCGCTAAAAGTAATAGGCATATAATATTAACAATAAGATTTGGGAATAATTAACCAGGCTGCTATTTAAGCCTTATGAAGATCAGTCTGCCAGAATTGTTAAGTAATTTTCATCTGGTTTCAGTCTAGATAAAGCAACACTGATTTGAACCAAACTCCGACAGTGTGGAAATGGCATTGCTTCCATTCCTCTTCTGCCTGTTTGCAGGTAAGTTTTAATCACAATTTCTTTTTGTCCATCTCTGAACTTTGTGCATTATCTCGTGTGCACAAAATAGATGCATTTAAAAGTAAGTTTTTTTTAAGAAAAGCTGCAACCCATTTACCCCCTTTAAATGAACAATTGCACCAATGAAGAGTACAAAATGCTTTTATTATTGTAACAGGGTGGGTTTTTTTAATCTGAAAGGTTATTGGTATTATTTTGAAGGAAATGACTAAAGAAAAGATTTTTGGCCTAAATACATTTGACATCATTAACCCAAAAGAGTTAAACAAACCTCCAGATTTTTAATGCTTTCAAATTAATAGATGATTGCAATATTTTCATAAACTACTTTTGTAAAAACTTCTGCTTGTGATTTTATTTCCAATTCTACACTGGTGAAATTTGAATTGAAAAAGCTGATGATAAAGGTCTTCTTTAGACCTTTAGATCTTCTTTGTTCTTGGGACTACACAAGATTCAGTCAAAGACCACATTTAGAAGGCAACAACCTATATGTCTCTATAAGGTCAATTAAATTTGTTCAATACCTGCAAGTACTTGAAAATATGAGGATGCCCAGGAGTCATTCTGCTCAATGAACTCAAATCTTCATTCCAAATTGTTCAAAGTGTTGTTTGTATGGCCATTATTATACTTTCAGTCATCCCTTCCAGCTATGATCGCCAGGTTTGTGAAACCCATTCTTGGCCACTTCATTACTTTTTGGATTTTGTTATCATCTCTCTTATTCTTTTGAGGCTTGGCCCTTTCCCAAATTTCTTAGAAATGGTAAGCTACCTGCTGAGGATAATGAACTGTTTTAATAAAGTATTGGTATTGTTTGATTAACTTGTATTCTCTAAACAGTTGCAATGCTGTTGGATTTAAATATACTTGAGCTTAATTATAATAAAAACAGAAAGTGTTGGAGGAACTCAGCTGGTCTATGAATCTTCTGGTTGGACTCAAAATATTAATTCTGTTTCTCTCTCTATAAATGCTGCCAGACCTACTGAGTTTCTCCAAAACTTTCTGTTTTTATTTAAAATCTCCAGCATTCACGATTTCTGAATTTTATTTTAGCAGAGTAATATGATCTTTTTTCAAAACAGTATAGAAAGTGAATGTGCAATCACCAATTAAAATTCCTGAACTCTGGCATTTTCACTGCTCAAGTGAAAACATCCATCAATGGGTTTTCACAAACCTTCGTCTCTTTCAATTCATCTGCAATTTTCCATCACTCTAAAAAAAGGCTCAGTTGCCTTTCACTAATTTATTAAGTTTTCTGTGACAATTTGTCCTTTGACTTCCTTCTCTGGTCCTTTTCTTTCTCCTCGCTCTATCTATGGTGAATGTTGAATCCCGAACTCCAAACCATTTCTTTCCAGGTTTTCCATCTCTCTATGTTTTACAAAAGCTCGCATGAAATAAATTTTAAAGAATGATAAAGACAAGGTGATTCCGAAAGTAAACCTAAAAAGAAATTACCACAGAGAAATGGACCAATCAGTCCAGCAGATCTTCGCTGAGGTTTATGTCAACATAAACCACCTCCCATCCATTTTCACCTGATCCCATCAACTGGTACTTCTTTTCCCTTCTTCCACTTCTGCATATCTAAATTCACCGTAAATGCATCTGTTATTTGCTTATTTTACATGATAACTGCACATTTGAATTGATGCATTATGAGTAAATTCTCCACACTGATGTGGACATAGAATATTATAGAAATTATAACCATTACTGAAGCTCTTTTTCCAAAATGGATTTCATTAGCACACAGCTTCACTCGTTGGGATTTTTTCATTCTTCCATTTTTCTATGCCCACAAAACATGTACTTAGAAATTAGATTCGTAAATTTCTTCTTGCGCTTGTGCCTGATAGACTCTACGGAATATTGAAAACAGACAGAATATCACACAGACCATCCTCCCGGGTTTAATAAAAAGTAATTCAAAGGTTAACATTACAAGGCAGAGGGACTTGCATTTAAGAAAATTTTGGCCTTCATGCTCTTTCCCCATTGGAAAATATTACACAGTCCTGCAACCTCATGATCGAAGCATTAATTACCAGGTAGAAAATCTCTGCAGTGATCATTTACACAGTAAGTGCCCTTTTTACAAATAGCCCTTCAGAGACATAATTACTTTGGAAATCAGGCCCTTAATACACAGCCATTAACAAGCTATTGTGGTATGGGAATAAGGACTGAGAATTGATTTTTGAAAGAGATAGGCCTTAAATGAGAATCTAAAACAAGGATAATGTCATAACCATCAACTGATATAATTCATATCATCGTAAATGAGGCCAGCAAGATTACCTGAAGACTTGAAAGCAAAAATCAGTCAAAAATCAGTCTAGCAATTAAAAAAAGATTAATCAAACCAGTTGACCCCATTTTCCATTGGTGGGTGGGTGTAAGAAAGATTCTCTTGGTTAATCTATTAGAGTTTGAGATAGGCAAAGCTATAAACCAACACAGGTACCAGTTCGTGATTGGAACAAGGAGAATTTCATCTGAAAGACAATTAATTAAAATAATTCCCCTCCCTTCCTCTTTTAAAAGCAATTATTTTTTCCACATATTCCATTGAAATGTACTAGGGAAGGGTTATTCTGAGATTATACCCTCTGGTCCTAGACTCTTCCAGAAGGGAAACGACCTTTCTGCGTCTGTCCTGCAAATTCCCCCAAGAATCCTACATATTTCACTGAGCTTGCTTCTCATTCTTCTAAACTCCAATGAGTACAGCCCCAACCTACTCAATCTCTCCTCATGAGACAGTCCCTCTTGTATGTTCACCAGTTACCATAAATCTATACCAAGGGGTCACTGTTTAAAAATAATGGGTCACCTATTTAAGACGGAGATAAGGAAAACCTTTCTCACAGAATGATATAATTCTCTAGAACTCTCTTACTCAAAAGATGGTGGAAACAGAATGCTTACATCTTTTTAAGGCAGAAGTAGATAGATTCTTGATAAGAAAACTCATAAAGGGTTATCAGGGTACACTGGAAGGTGCAATCAATAGATCAGCCATGATATTACTAAATAGCAGAATAGGATTGAGGGCCCAAGTGGCCTTCTCCTGTTCCCAATTCTACATCCAATTGTAATTCCTGTCTTCATGTTATCAACACTCCTACCAATAGAAGCAATTCTGTAAATACCTTGCCTTAATATTTTTGTGTATTTTTGATTGTGGACTGAAATGAGAAAAAGACTGTTTTAAAAGCCAAGGATAGTGGAAGGGATTGTTGCAGACATTTAAAAAAAAAACTAGATTACAGATACTTTTTGTAAGTGCCGTTTCTGCTTCTGTTTGCTTAAGCAGTGGTAGTGGCATGTGTGGTGTAGGTTAGTGCGGATGAGCTTTAACCAGGGAATGTGTATGAAGTAAGATTCAGCCAGCAACACATAGCAGATTGGTCTGTGGAGAGGTGACCAATTTTGATGACAAAGGCCTTCTTCCTGCTACCAACCACGTGATTGGCTGTCAGGCAACTCAACAGCTTGAGGGTATGAACGAGGTGATCAGAAGCCTTTGGAACTCTGGAAAGGGAGGTGGTCTCTGTCTCCCTACTGTAAAACAAAACCAAAGCCTGCAGAAAGCCTGCTCATTTTCCCTCACCACATGCTGTAAATTGTGATTTTGTAAACAACAAGACAGTGACTTTGTAAGTTCTGAACTAGTTGCTTTCTGCTTCTTGAAAGCAAGTGAAAATATGTGGAGAAGAGAGATCGAGGAGCAGCAAGTCATGACAAATCAAAGAATCATTGCAGTGAACCCTGTGATAGGGACTATTGAACAGCTTTCGCCATTTTTCCCTTCACCCATAACATTTTTGTTTTGTCTGTCTGTGTGTGAAGGATGCATTTATAAAAGGGTTACAGTTTTAACTGGTAGAGTAATATATCGACAGTTCATAACTGTTCACTTGTTGCTAGAATCTATTTATTTGTATTAAATAGTGTTTCTAGGCAATCAGGAACCTGATCCATGTTTTCTATTAAGTTGTCTTAAAAGTCAGGGGAATTTTCCATATTTTGATTAAAATCTTTAACTTTTGTGATGACTCTAGGGATGGCAGGGTTTGATTTCCAGTGAGCTATCCCAGTGAGCTGTGACATTTCTGTCAAAAGCACTCATGATATGACCAACTCTATTGGATTTTAACTTTTGTCCAGGAGAACAGTATACACTGACATTTAATCATGCAGCATGGAAGCAGGCCCTTCAGTCCAACTTGTAAATGCCAGCCATGTTTATAAACTGAACTAGTCCCATTTGCTTCAGTGTTTCCATGTAGCAGAATTCCCTCAGGCCTAATAACATTGCAGTAAATCTCTTTTGTCCCCTCTCCAAGGCCTTGACGTTCTTACTAAAATGTTGTGCACTGAATTGAATACATAACTCCAGCTGTGCCCAAATCAGTCTTTTATAAAGATTTAACGTAACTTTGTCTTTTGGTTGTTCTGTCATGTAATATGGGATTTCCTGATTGCTCCTAAATTGAGTGGGCTGCCTAGATTATTTCACACGGCAGGTAAGAAGCAACCACATCACTATGGATTTGAAGTCACATAGAGGCCAGAATTGGTAAGGATGGCTTGTATTCTTCTGTAAAGGACATTGGTGTACCAGGAGGGTTTTCCTTCAATTATTAGTTCCATGGTTACCAATATTGATGGGCTTTAACAATGTTTAAATTCCACCATAATTATTGATAAAGCTAAAGATCTTTTTTGTTAACAGCCTTATCCATACCCTGACAACTTCATAGTTCACTCTGTTCCTTCACCCTCCTTAAGACAGTATTTAGTTTTTATTGCCTCTCCTCAATCTTCCTTCAACCATACTTATTCGACCATATCTATTAATTTCCATCTGACATATGTCTGTTCATTTCTCCAGTTCAGTTATCTCTGCCTTAAATTTGCTACAGTCATCCTCCCTATATTTTTGAAGTTTGTGTCACCTGCAAACTTCAACATTGGGTGCTTTATAGCCAAGGCAAGGTCATGAATATGTATCCAAAATAGCTGCAGACCTAGAATCAGTTCTTGGGGAAAACCATTGGATACCCTCCTCCAATCTGAATCACCATAATTTTCTGCAGTCTGTCCCTCACTCAATTATGTTTTTCATTCATGGGACATTTTGTAATGCTGGTTTGGCCACCATTAGTTGCTGGCCCATTTCTATTTGCTCTTGAAAAGGTTCCTTTTTGACCTACGGCGGTCCGCATGTTGTATGTAGACCTACAATGCCATTAGCGAGGGAGTTCCAGGATTTAGACTCAGCAGCAGTGAAGGAACAGTGATATATTTCCAAGTCAGGCTGCTGAGTGGCTTGAAGGGAACAAGTGGTTGTGTTGCCATATATCTGCCACCCTTATCCTTTGAAATTGAAGTGGTTGTGGTTTGGAAGGTGCTGTAAAAGGAGCCTTGGTGAATTTCTGCAGTGCATCTTGTAGATAGTACACACAGTTGATTCTGAACATCAGTGGTGGAGCAAATGGATGTTTGTTGATGCGCAATCAAGTGGGCTGCTTTGTCTTGGATGTTGCCATGCTTCTTGAGTGTTTTTGGAGCTGTACTCATCCAGACAAGTGGAGAGTTTTCCATCACACTCCTGACTTATGCCTTGTAGATGGTGAACAGGCTTTGGGGAGTCAGGAGATGTGTGATTTGTTCCAAGATTGCTAGCCTCTTTATGAGCCAATTAAAGGCTATTGGATTAAGAGCTGTGACCAGAAACTGAACTGGACTAATACTGTTTCAGAGATAGTAGGAACTGCAGATGCTGGAGAATCTGAGATAACAAGGTGTAGAGCTGGATGAACACAGCAGGCCAAGCAGCATCAGAGAAGCAGGAAGGCTGACATTTCGGGCCTAGACCCTGCTCCTCTGAAACAGTATTAGTCCAGTTCAGTTTCTGGTAACAGCTTTTAATCCAACAGCCTTTAATTGGCTCATAAAGATTTATTCGTAGTTGGAACAGAAAGAACTTTCTTTCCATCTCTATGACAGGTAGTGGTCCATTCATAAGTATCAGTTAATGGTTAGGAAAGGGAGTACTGCAACAGTCATCTGCTGGTTATTGGTGTAGGAGAAACTCAATTGACCAATGTCTGTTGTGGTTAGGTCACTCTGTTGAGCAGTATCTGTTTGTGGTTGAAACAGAAGGAACTTTAAAGGTAGTCAGATCATGCAGGAGGAGCACTATTGTATAGATGTTCAGTTTGACACCACAACACGCCTTATGGTATCACACTAGCTGTTACATGTGTTTAAGTATTCAGCTTCATTCAAGTTAAGCTGTTGGTAATCATGCAGAAGAGATTCTGAGTCCATATCCTAAGTGTAAAAATTAATCAACTTTCACAAATTATTTGTGCCCTAATCAATATTTTCCCACATTATTTCAGATCATAGATCTGTTACAATTGCCACAGGGAAACTTTAAACTAAAATAACCAAATTTACCAGCTTAGCCTCAATGAAGATATTATCAACACAATTTCACTTTTTGTAACTTTTACTTTAGTATGAATTTGAACTCATGGTTAATACATGTTGATTAACAGAAAAATGATTTAGAGGTAAACTTCATTTTAAATAGTTGGTCCAACAAAGATATAACTTATACCATTGCAAGCATGCTCCTTCATGCATGGAATTACATAACTACAATTCCATAATGTGATGTTTTTCATTCTTACAAGGTAGGTCAGATGTCCTACTTATTGTAACAGTTTAGTCCTGCTGAACTTATGCATTTCTCAGGGCAATGCCTTGAGTAGAGTCAATCTGCAAGGTTTAAATTTAAACACAATTTGACAGCTAATTGTCAATCATCACCTAACTGATACATTCATCATAACAATGCCGCTGTCAATCATTGTCCGCTTGCTACCCACTCAGCATTCTCTTCCATACAGTATAAAATTTTGTTCCCCTCTATATGAGTATTCTTGTAAATGTTATAATAAATATAAGTCAAAACCTTTTACAAAATGTGTCTTTTTTTCAGCAATACTCAACAGCTGTAACCTTCATGTTTCACAGGCATGAATATCAGCAGGGCACACTCTCTCCTTCAGTTCACAATTGTACTAATGATGTAGCTTTCCAGCTTTCCTTTTCAATTCATCAACCAATAACACTCTGGTTCATGGTTTGATCATTTCTAGGAAAACAGACAGCTCTTTAATACCCCAATCTTTTCACACAGCTTTCCTGGTTTTAGACCATTTTTAACTTGCTGACCCATTGCCTCCAAGTAAAACCAAATGCTTACTGGGAGTGATTTGCTTCTGATCCACACAAACATTCTCTATGTTGCACCTTCTGTCTCTGTCTGCTTTCTCATTGTGTTTATAGCTGTAGCTCCACACTCCAACTCTCCTCCTTCTGTCACTCAACATTTTATCTGCAGAACTCCTCTGTCCTTGCCAGTTACAGCCTACTTTAATGTTGGCTTTGCCAATGATCATCACGTCACATGGCACAGTATTTCTTAATACTCAGTACAGCAGCTCAGTGGTTAGCACTGCTGCCTCACAGTGTCTGGGACCCGGGTCTGATTCCACCCTCAGGCGACTGTCTGTGTGGAGTTTGCACGTTCTCCCCGTATCTGCATAGGTTTCTGCCGGATGCTCCGGTTTCCTCCCACAGTCCAAGGATGTGCAGGTTAGGTGGATTGGCCATGCTAAATTGTCCATAGTGTTCAGGAGTGTGTAAATTAGGTGGATTAGACATGGGAAATGCATGGTTATAGGGAAAGGGTAAGGGGATGGGTCTAGGTGGGATGCTCTTAGGAGGGTCAGTGTGGACTCGTTGGACCACACTGTAGGGATTCTATGATTCAAGAAAATCACAACTGATCAATCTACAATTGATACAAAGTCTTAAAAGACAGACACTTCAAAGCAATTACAAATGTTCCTTATCATACTGCTTCTAGAACATAGGTCATCTCCAATTGTGGAATAAATAGTCTATAAATTCAGCATATCATGCTGCTGTCAATTCTTTGATAGAGTTAAATAATTAGTCCTCCTACCTCCTTTCTTCCCAAAAGCCAAGAATGTTTTTAGCTTTTCAAATGTTAACTTATTCTCCTTTCAATAGTTACTATTGAGTCTGAATCCTCTCCACTTTTCACATAGTGTATTCAAGTTCATCATTATTCACTGCATAAAATAAATTTTCCTTATGTGGCCTTTTGTTCTTGTACCAATCTCTTCAGTATGTATTGTATTTTCAGGAGGGTGTGCTTACACTGCATCCCTTCAGAACTCAACACTACATCAACTGATGGAAAAGCTACTGAAAAACTATAACAAGGGAGTCCGACCAGTCAAAAACTGGACACAACCTACAACCATTTATATTGACTTCATCCTCCATGCAGTGCTGGAAGTGGTAAGTGTTACCCTTAAAAGATAAATGTACTCAAGATGCAATCATAAGTATATTTTATGTGAGGTAGGGTGTAGTTATTTTGCCTACAAAGAACATCTGCATCTTCATTAAGTCCTCACATCAAAGCCTTGGGATGTCCCAAAGAGTTTTACAGCCAATGAAGCAGTGTAGAAGTGTAATTAGAATTGTAACAGAAGACACATGGCAGCATTACCAGATGATTTGTTTTTGTCATGTTGACCAAGGAATCTGCCCTGGCCAGGACACCGGGAAGAACACCTTCTTTGAAATAGTCTCATGGGGATATTTTGAGAGAGCAAGTAGGGATCTCAGGTTAATGGTTGATTCAAAAGATGGCAACTCCAACAGTACAGCACTCCCTCAGCAGTGCAATGGAGCATCAACTTGGACTTTGTGCATGCTCTCAGGAGTGAGGCTTGAACCCAGAACCTATTGGCACAAAGGCAAGAGCCATTGAACCTTGGCTGGCACTACAGGGCTCTTGACAAAGGCACCACTATTATTCAATCACAACAAACTCTGTCAACGTGAGTTATTAGATTTTGACTGGTAAGCTAAAAAGACCATTCAATTGATTTTCACAAAGAATCTCCTTAAATATTTGCAGAAATATTGATCTGAATAAATTTCCCAGCTCTTTACAAAAGCCTATTTATTTGCTATTTCAGGATGGCCAGAACCAAAAACTAAGGACAAATATCTGGTACCAGCAGGTATGTACAGCATCAGGCACTCAATATGAATCTGTAGATCTCTATCAGACCATAAAATTTATAATGCAATAAGCTAAATGTTCTTGCAGAGCTCCTCATATTTGAAGCTTCTCACTCCTGGAGTAACAGAGGGCTCAGAATGACACACCAGCATTAATGATAGGATTACTTTCTCCCAAAAAAGCTCCCATATTTCTGATTTCATTTTTAAGGAACAAAGCTGACAAGCAAATTCTTAGGGGTGACTGTTCAAAGGAGAGGGTTTCTCAGGAGACAAACGTTAATTATATAGCTAAGTACCCACTCCTCTTTCCCTTTACACTGGAATCCATTGCTAATGAACATTGGGTGTCAGCAGCACTGATCAGCTGTCTCGTGTTGCAAAAATGTGTTTCTGCCTCATTGTCATTTAGATTACAGCTTTAATAAACAGTCATAAACTGATCATCAATATCAGGGAAGTACTGAGTGTATTGCACATAAATAAGCCTCAAGCCTACACTCTGGTCAATAATATTAAGCCCTCAAAACCACAATATTGTGGACACTATGCATCTTGTTTTTCACTTATGTCTCTTTTTCTCAACCACTTCCCCTTCTCCCTGTTGAATGTAACATTACCACATGATATCTTACTGATAGAGGAATAGATTTGAGTTATATAGAACTTTTCAGAGTCTCGGGAAGCCTCAAAGTATTTCACAGTCAAATCTGAAGTGCAATCATATTGTAATGTAGGAAACAAGGCAGCTGATCTGCACAGAGAAAGCTCTGACAAATAAGAATGTGATAATAACCAGACAATCTGTTTTTGTTACATTGGTAGAATGATAAATATTCGCCTGGAGAAAGGAAACAGGTCATCTTTCTTCTTTGAAAAAGTGCAACTGGATCTGAGGAGGCAGATAAGACCTCAATTTAATATCCCAACCATCATACATCACCTTCCAAACCCACGACCACTTCCATCTAGAAGGACAAGGGCATCAGACATATAGGAACACCACCACCTCCAAGTTCCCCTCCAAGCCACTCACCATCCTGACTTGGAAATATATCATCGTCCCTTCACTGTTGCTGGGTCAAAATCCTGGAATTCCCTCCCTAATAGCATTGTGGGTCAACCCACAGCAGGAGGACTGCAGTGGTTCAAGAAGGCAGCTCACCACCACCTTCTCAAGGGCAACTAGGGATGGGCAAGAAATGCTGGCCAGCCAGTGGCACCCACAAAAAAAAAGAAAAAGAGAAAAAAAAAGACAATGTCTCCAGTGAGAAAGTTAAGGCACATTGAATTGAGGGAAACTTGGTGAGATAGATCAGAAACTGGCTTTGTAATAGGACACAAAGGCCAGTGGTAGAAGGCAGTGTTCAGAGGTGTACCACAAGGATTAGTACTGGGACCCTTATTGTTTGTTACATACATAAACGATATCGATGAAAATATGGGGGAAATGTTAATCAAATTTGCAGACGACACCAAGATTGGTAGAAAGATTAATAGTGAAAGAGATGGTTGTATGTTACAGGAAGATATAGAAGGATTGATCAGCTGGTCAGACCAGTGGCAGATGGTATTTAACTCTGATAAGTGTGAGGAGATGAACTTTAGAAGAAGAAACAAAATGAGGGAATTTTTAATGAATGTCGACACACTGAGTAGCTTAGAGAAATATAGGGATCTTGGGGTAATTCTTCACAGATCTCTGAAGTTGGTATAGCACGTGAATAGGATAGTTAAGAAGACATATGGGGTACTTCCTTTCGTCAGCTCTGCCATAGAATATAAGAGCAAGGACATAATGTTGGAGTTTTACAGAGCATTGGTTAGGCCACAGCTGGAGTATTGTATGCAGTTCTGGTCATCTCACTACAGGAAGAATATGTTAGAACTAGAAGGGGTTACAGAAGAGGTTCACCATGATGTTGCCCGTGATGGAGAAATTGAGCTTTAAGGAGAGACTAGATAGGCATAGATTGTTTTGTTCAGAGCAGAGAAGACTGAAGGGACACATGATAGAGGTGTATAAGATTATGAGAGGTATGGACAAGGTGAATAGAGAGCAGCTGTTCCCCTTGGTTGAGGGGTCAATCATGAGACGGCATAGTTTAGGGTAAGGGGCAGGCGATTTGGGAAAAAAATACTTTTTTCACTCAGAGGATGATAGGAATCTGGAATGCACTGCCTGGGAAGGTAATGGAGGCTGGAAACCTTACTACGTTTAAAATATATTTAGATGAGCACTTCAGATATCATAACAATCAAGGATACAGGACAAGTGCAGGAAATTGGGATTAGTGCTCTTTTAGCAGTAGTTTCATCAGTGCTGACTCGATGGGCTGAAGGGCCTTTTCTGCACTGTATGAATCTATGAATCTTTGAATGGTGCAATGTTCCCTCAGTACTGAACCTTAGTGACAATCTACATGTGCTGAGGTCCACAAACTACAGTGTATACCAAATTCTCAGCAAATGGTAATAAAGATCATGAACTCCAGGTCAATTGCCAGCCTTGCACTCTGTAAGATCAAACAATAGACAATATGGCCAGGAATTAAATTTGAAACCTTTGAAATCAGGACTAACAGGTTGGGCCATTGATATCTCCAACACAACATCCTGCTGTTTCTGCTTTTCAGTGGCTTATTGTAAAGAACTATTTCAAAGCTTCCTCTCATGGGCTCCTTGATTTTTGCACAGATATGGATGGATGAGTTCCTCATATGGAATCCTGCAAGTTTTAATGGCATCAATGAAATCTCACTGCCCGTCGAAACTATTTGGATCCCTGACATATTAATCCAGGAATTGTGAGTAACGGTTGTTTAATGAATAACAGATAAAGCGTCCATCCCTAATTATTCATTATTGAATAGTTGTTTTCTATTAACCAATATAACCAAAAACGAAGATATGCAATTACATGGCATCTTTCACAACATCCCAACGCACTTGATGGTCAGCTTTAATACGTGGTCAATGTTGTAATATAGGAACTTCAGGCAGTATCCAACATCAGCAGTTCCATGAAGAGAGGGAGACCCTTTCTGCAGACCATGGCAGGAGCATGCATGAAGTTTTAGAGAAGATGTGAGGAAAAACTTTTTCACCCAGAGAGTTGTGGGAATATGGAACTCATTGCCTGTAAGAATGGTAGAGGCAGAAACACTCCTCACATTTAACAAGTATTTAGATGTGCACTTACAATGCCAAGCCACACAAGGTTATGTTCCAAGTGCTGGAAAATGGGATTAGAGTAGTTGGGTGCTTGATTTTGACCAGCACAGCATCAATGTGTGAAAGGGTTTTTTTTTCCTGTGCTGTAGACTTTTATGACTCGATGAATCTTTTTAACAGAGGGAGGCTGTTGCACTTTAGCAACCACATGGTTCTGGGTGGCCAGGAAATAGGATTTACAAGCTCACAGTCAACCTAGCCATATTATGAATCACCTTCCACAGCTATCACATCTAGGTGTGGGCTTTGCACCACAGAGTGTCTAAGAGGCAGACAAACCTACTACAGTGCCACAAGTCCTCCTTCATCATCTGAATGACATGTAGCAAGGTCCCACAAATAGTATTGTGATAATGAAAAGGCAAATTGTCCTTCTGATGCTGATTGCATGGTAACTATTGATGAGGACACCAGGGAGAATGCAGGACACTATTTCAAGAAGTACTGTTGGATCCTTTCCCTCTACATAAGGGAGCACCATTCCTTCAGGAAAGCATTGAAGTTAACGTCAAAACTTTACTCAGGTTCCAGGAGGGGAACTTGAACCCTCAACCTCTCATCCATCAATAAGAGTTCCATCAATAAGTTATATCTATAGGTTTCCCAATTGTCAATCATCAATACTTTAGGATCCTTGTTTACTGTCTCTACATTTATTATACCTGCCATTTACGTTTTAAATGACAGATTACAAACTTCATGAGGGTGAAGTCTGGATCCATTTCCATGGCCTAGTGATGTAATTGCAAGTTTATTAATCTAGATAATGTTCCAGAGACCCAGGTTCAAATCTTGCCGTGGCAAATGGTGAAATTTGAATTCAATGAAAATCTGGAATTATGAGATGACCATGAAACCCATTTGGCTCACTAACATCCTCACTCAGTCTCGCCTATGTGTGACTGCAGGCCCACAATAATGAGGTTGACTGTTAACTGCCCTCTGAGCAGTTATGCCCAATTATTGTAAATTTTTTTTTAAAAAATGTCCATCTCAACAGTTGTTCTTATGGCTTTTTAATTTGCTTCACCTTCATGCCTTGTTTCTCTATTTCTAACCATTTCTCATATGCTGATTTCCTGTGCCATTTGTTAGCAAGCCAGATATGCATTGACCAAATCCTGTTATTTTCCTCATACAGTATTGATGTGGGAAGATCACCTTACATGCCCTACGTGTATGTGAATTCCTCAGGGCATATTAAAAACTACAAGCCAATACAAGTCGTCTCTGCCTGCAGACTGGAGATATATGCCTTCCCATTTGACAAGCAGAACTGCACCTTCACATTCTGTAGCTGGCTGCATACAGGTGAGCAGAGAAAAAAATCAACAGCAACTTGCATTTATATAGTGCCTTTAAGGCAGCCAAACATGACAGGAGCATTATCAGACAAGATTTAATTCCAGGGACATATAGCTGACCAGAAATTCAATCAAAGCTAAGGAGGAACTTAAAAATGGGGACTGAGGTGGAGGGGTTTAGGAAGGGAATTCAATAGTTTTGGCATTCCTTTATTGTATAATCTCTCACAGCTCTGCATCAAGTTTTGTTCCTTCACACACCCAAGGAAATGTACATTATTAATCTGTACCTCTCCCCATCCTCCATTTCTGAGAGAGTCATTGGTTTACTGAGCAACAACACTCTGTACCTTTTGGTCAAAAGTAAATAAGAAATTAAGACGGAGAGATTTGATGTTGATAATACAAAGTTGTTTGAAGCCTTTAATTGATTGTCACTGGCCACGGACAAATAGTAGATCCTCAAACCGGCTCATAGTTGGTTCACCAATGTCACATTGTTATAATAATTTCTACCGAAGTTCAATCAGGACTTCAATTTGTGTTTGGAATTGCTACATCTTTTTGGAAAGTAACGTGGGGTTTAGAATAAGTTGGTAGAGAGAAACTGCTTTCATTAGAAGGTGAATCAATAACCAGGTTTAAAAAACATAGAACATAGAAGCAGGGGAAGCAGGGGAACAGCCCACTATGTCTGCACTGACCATGATGCCATTCTAAATTAATCCAATCTGCCTGCACATGGTTCATACCCCTCTTTTCATTGCTTATTCATGTTTCTGTCTAAATGTATCTTTAATGTTGCTGCCGTATGTGCTTCTACCACCTCCCCTGGCAGCACATTCCAGGCACCTATCACCCTCCGCAGAAAAAAACTTGCCTACTACATCTCCTTTAAACTTGCCCCCTCTCACATTAAAAGTGTACCCACTAATATTTGACGTTTCCACTCTGGAAAAAAAGACTCTGACTCTCCACCCTATCCATGCTTCTCATAATTTCGTATACTTCTATCAGGTTGCTCCTCAGCCTCTGATGCTCTAATAAGAACAATCCAAGTTTATCCAACGTCTCCTTGTACCTAATGCCCTCCAATCCAGGCAGCATCCTCCCAAACCTCTTTTGCATCCTGTCCAAAGCCTCTGCATCTTTCCTATAATGTAGCAGCCAGAACTACCCACAGTACTTCAAAATTGGCCTAAGTGAAGTCTTATGCAGTTGTAACATGAATTGCCAACTATAATATTCGATACCCCAATCAATGAAGACAGCATGTCATACCCCTTCTTTACCACCTTATCCACTTATGTTGCCACTTTCAGGGAGCTATGGACTTGCACCAAGATTCCTCTGTACAACAACACTCCTAAGGGTCCTGCCATTTTCTGTATACTTTTCTCTTTGACCTCACACTTGTCCAAATTAAACTCCGTCTGCAATTCCTCTGCTCAACTTTCAAACTGATCTTTTTCTGAATGTGTCATTTGACAACCTTCCTCACTATCCACAATTCCGGCAATTTTTGTGTAGTCTGCAAACTTACTGATCAGACCACCTACATTTTCATCCAAGTCATATGTATTACAAACAACAGAAATCCCAACACTAATTCTTGCGGAACACCACTGGTTACAATCCTCCAGCCAGAAAAACACTCCTCCATAAGTGCATTCTGTTGTTTATGACCAAACCAGTTTTGTATCCACTCACTGTGGATCCCATGTGCTTAATTTGCTGCACCAGCCTACCATGAGGGACATGTCAAATGCTTCACTAAAGTCCATATAGACAACATCCACTGCCCTACTGTCTTCAATCATCTGTGTTACTTCTTCAAGAAACACAATCAAATTTGAGACAACACCTCCACACAAAAGTCATGCTGACTATCCCTAATAAGTCCATTCTTTTCCAAATGCGAGTAACTCTTCTTCCTCAGAATCTTCTTCAATAATTTCCCTACCACTGTTGTAAGGCTCACTAGCCTATAATTTCCTGGATTAATCCTGTTGCCCTTCTTAAACAAAGGAATAATATTGACTATTTTCCAGTCTTCTGGCATCTCACCCATAGCTAAAGTGGATACAAAGATCTCTATCAAGGTCCCAGCAATCTCCTCCCTTACCTCCCTCAGTATCCTGGATTGATCCCATCAGTAACTGGGGACTTATCTATCTTAATGTTTTTCAAGACTCCCAACACCTCCTCCTTCTTAATATTGACATGCCCTAGAACATCAACATACCCTTCCTTAATCTTACCATCATCTATGTCCTTCTCCTTGGTAAATACCAATGCAAAGTACTCATTAAGGACCTCATTCACTTCGTCTGGATCCAGACATAAAGTCCATCCTTTGTCTTTGAGTAGACCTACCCTTTCTCTAGCTACCTTCTTGCCCCTAATATATGTATAAAATGCCTTGGGATTCTCCTTAATCCTATTTGCTGAGGATATTTAATGGCCCCTTTTAGCCCTCCTAATTCCTTGAATAAGTTCTCTCCTTCTTCCTTTATATTGCTCAAGGGCCTTGTCTGATTTCAATTTCCTAAACCTCACATATGCTTCCTTTTTCTTTTTTTTGGTAAGATTCTTGTAAAGAAATTTCTCCCAAGATCCTTTCATTTGATGTCTTGTCACCATCTTATATTTATAACACTCAATGTCACTAAAAAAGCTTGACACCATCAGGACAGAGCAGCCCACTGGATTGGGAACCACATCGACATTCAGTTGTTCTACCACTGACACTCAGTAGCAGCAGTGTGTAATATCTACAAGATACACAGCATGAACTCACCGAGGCTCCTTAGACAGCATTTTTCAAACTCATGACGACTTCCATCTAGAAGGACAAGGGCAGCAGATACATGGGAACACCAGCTGCAAGTTCCTCTCCAAACTACTCACCATCCTGACTTGGAAATATATCACCATTCCTTCACTGTTGCCAGGTCAAAACCCTGGAATTCCCTGCCTAACAGCATTGTGAGTCTGTACAGAACATGGAATGTGACGGTTCAAGAAGGCAGCTCACTACCATCTCCTTGAGGCAACTAGGGATAGACATAAATGCTAGCCTAGCCAATGACAACCACATCCCAGGAGTGAATTAAAAAAATTATGGCCCCTTGTAAGTGGAAACAGATTTCTGTGGATAACCTATCAACTCTTTCATTGTTTTATCATTGAGAGAATCTGATAAAGAATTTCCATAGTCTGATAAAGTAAATAAGCAAAAATCTGCTTTTGCTGATTAATGGATCGGCAACTAGAGGGGATAAATTTTTAAGACCATTCAGAGAAGCTAATAGAATTTTCTTTTTATGTGGAGAAATATTAGGGTCAAAACATGGAATGCCCAATCAAAAACAATGGCGGAGGTAGCATCCAAAATAGCTTTTCAAATGGAAATGGATAAATTGAAGAAAAAGTTCTTTTAAAGTGTTGGAATGTGTGGCAAGAGTGTGGAGAAAAGGACAGGACAATGCAGATTGTTCTTTCATTGACTTAGCAGAAGTTTAATTGTTCAAATGGTGTCTTGTCTGCAGCTAAAGCTTCTGATTCTATTTTACAGAAAATTCAGTTCCTCCTTTAAATATTTGTTAGTCTGACTAAGTCGAGGTCAGGAGAAAGTAGTATTGCACAAAATGCATTTTGTGAAGAGTGTTGTCAGGTCTATTAAAGGGTCTTATATCCACAATGAAAGAAAGACGAGGGTAAGCAGGCACCAAAAAGATAAACTCAAGCCCGTGTGGTGCAGTGGTGGTGTTCCTACCTCTGAGCTAGGAGGCCTGGGTTCAAGTCCTACCTGCTCCAGAGGTGCATAATAGCAATAGGTTAATTAGAAAATATCTCAAAAAGATAATCTTTCTGGGGAAAACAGTTCAGACATCAGCTCTGACTTTGCAGCAGTCTGTCTATTCTCTATCTCTTCTCATCCGGTCCTCTTAAAATAATTCTTTACAAGAATCTTACCAAAAGAAAGATAAAGGAAGCATTTGTGAGGTTTAGGAAACTGAAATCAGATAAGACCCTTGAGGAATATGTTCATATCCACAATCCAGTTAAATGTCTTCACTTATGATCAATTTTCCATTTCTACTTCTATAAGAGATGCCTCCTTTATCTTACCTTTCTCAATTACAGTCTGCAGCACTTATGGCGAATACAGATTTTTTTTTTAAATGCCACAACTTATTCCTGTCAGACCTTTATGAATAAGAGAAAGGACAACTTTTCCATGGAAAATGAATGATGAAAAGCCCATCTAGATTTTCATGGAGAACATTGCTGCTATACATAGAATGGAGTGATAATTTATAATGCCTAAAATGGCAACATCACTCATGCAGGCACAACCCAAAAAGTCAGCTGACTATCACATGACAGGCCTCAGTAAGGGTCTGTGCATGGGCCCGTGACATCGCTGCATTCTGTGTGCAGGGAACATAAGCACTAGAAGCACGAGGAGGCCATTCAGCCCCTCAAGACTGCTTGACCATTCAGTACAATCATGGATGATTTCATTGCGACCTCAACTCTACTCTCCTGCCTGACCTCTATAACCCTTCAACTCATTATTAATTAAAAGCCTGTCTATCTCTTCCTTAAATTTACTCAGTTTGTCACCATCCATCACATGCTGTGGTAGTGAGTTTCACAGATTCACAACCCTTTGAGAGAAGTAATTCATCCTCATCTGTTTTAAATATGCTTTCCACAAAAACAATGACCTCTCATTCTAGTTTGCCCCATATGGCAAAACTTCCACTCTACCTCTACTTGTCAATCCCCTTTAGCATCTTATATAACTCAATTACATCTCCTCTCATTCTTCTAAACTTGAGAAAGTATAGGGCTAAATTGCTCAATCTCCCTTCATAAGATAAACCCCTCGTCTCTGGAATCAACCTAGTGAACCTCCCTGAACTGCCTCCAAAGCGACTACTCCCTTCCTCAAGTAAGGGGACCAAAACTGTCCACAATACTTCAGGTATGGTCTCATTAATGCCTTGTACAGTTGCCCTCTTATTATACTCTATTCCTTTCACAATCAATGCCAAAAGTTATCAGCAGCAAATGCGCTGCTAATGAGGAAGTTCAGGCAGAGGCAGAGGGAGTAGGACAAAAGCGGGCGCAGAGGAGAGGACCTCCCATGTACCGGGAATAGGTGGAGGCGTTCACTGCGACCCAGCAGCCTTTTCTTCTGGGAGTGATGGAAAGGATAGAGGAAGTTTGGGAGGCTGCATGGAACGTGGGAGAGAGAGAGAGGGATGCAATAAAGAAGAGACTAACTGCAAGACAAAATAACCTTTTTCTAAATTTTTTTGCATTGGGGTACTCTCTTTTGTATCCTACAGCACCATCTTTAGACAGTCAGCTGCTTCTTATTGTTTAAAAATGACGCCGGGTTTGTTTCTGCTCCTTGCACCACCCAAAAATGGTGTTCGTAGGACACTCTGCAGACTCAGAAAGAGACATCAAACTATTTGTTCAAAGATTTAATGGTCAGGAATATCTTCACAGGGGTTTCTTCTTGTTCAAAGTCTTGACTTTTGTTACTTTGCTCCTTCAGTAAAATACTTAGATAGTGCAATAGTCATTATAGACACTGTGCAAACTCCATTCAGTTATAGATTCACAGAATGTTTACAGCACGGAAGAAGGTCATTCTGCCCATTGTATCTGTGCTGGCTCTCTAAAAGAGAGTGCCACTTCCCTGCTTTTTCCCTGTAGCCCTGACTATATTTCCTCATAGGATATTCACTCATGTGCCACCTTTCTCCTCTTATTTTGCAGTAAATGATATCAATCTCAAGCTTTGGAGAAGCCACGAAGAAATTGAAAATAACACTAGTGCATTTTTAAATGATGGGGAATGGGAACTCCTCTCTGTTCCATCCAAATATGAGAAGTTGTATAATGAAGGGAGGGAATACGCTCAAATTCAGTTTAACGTAAGTGGATGTGAGACTTCATGGTCAACCTTTGTGCAGAAAGAATGGAGACACTGCTTAGTTATTATTTTGTAATTAATGTATTCACCATAAACAATTTCAAAACCACCCACTAATCCAGCAGAGGGCTGTGGGGTTCGGTGGCTTTTGAAGTCCTTAGCCAGGAGATGGCGTAATTGAACCACAACATCAAGAATTTAAACAATTCCAGCAGAACTTCACTTCCTTTTTCATCTTTGAGCATACAGTGGAGGGCTGAGGAAGAGCCATGGACAATAGTCAACCCAAATGCACAGCACACACACATCCACAAAAGCAGATGCATGCACACACACGTGCACACAGACAAGCACACACTTGCACATGCACACACACAGACATCCATGCACACACACACGCACATTGACAAGCACACACACGTACATACACACAGAGACATGAATGCACACATACATGCACATGTGCATGCACACACACACGCAGGCATGCATACACACAAGCTCAGGCACCTACCTACCCACCTTCTTAGGGAATGTTTTAGAGTGGAGAAGGTGTTCTCTCAAACCATCCTCAGGGAATCCTCTCCTTTATCCCCTTGAAACTTCAGTGGAGACCTGGCTTGGGTCTCCATGCAGGGCATCTAAAGATCTTCAAATATTTTATCTGTTAGATAATTGATCCTGGTGAGGGTAAGTGTGGGATAATGATGGCCTAATGGTATTGTCACTGGACTAGTAATCTAGCAAACCAGGCTCTTGGGTCATGAGTTCTAATCTCAGTCTGGTAGCAAATGGCATTTTAAATTCAACGAATTAAATCTGGAATTGACTAGTCTCAGTAATGGTGACCATTAAACAATTGTTGTAAAAACCTATCTGGTTCACTCGTGCCCCTTAAGGGAAAGGAAATCTGCCTTCCTTACCAGTTCTGGCCTACAGGTGACTGCGCAGCTGCAGCAATGTGGTTGGCTCTTAACTGTCCTTGAAATGGCCTAGCAAGCTGCTGAGTACAAGGCAGTTAAACATTAGCAATAAAATGCTGGCCTTGGTAGAAATATCCACATTCTGGGGAAGAATTAAAAGCAAATGGCAGTGTATTCTCAAAGAAAAATTGGTTCTTTGACCCACTGTAAGGGGCCCCATCCATATTGCAATGACAGGTTGGCTCAAGGGGTCATTTCTGCAAGGCCCTGGAGCTCGTTCTGCAAATCTCTTACCATCTCGCCTCCCCTCTTAAAGCGAGTGGCAAAAGTAACAAATATTCACTTCCCTTTCCATTGCAGGTTGTAATAAGACGAAGACCATTGCTTTACGTGATCAGTCTCCTGTTACCCAGCATATTTCTGATGCTGGTAGATGTGACTAGCTACTTTCTGCCTCCAAACAGCAGTGGGCGAATAACTTTCAAATCCAGCATCCTGCTTGGATACACGGTGTTTCGGATGAACCTAAGAGATGACCTTCCTGCTACTGCTGTGACTACACCTCTCATTGGTAAAACGCTCTTGTCTTTTCCACACATTCAGCGATTCTTTAAAATAAGCAGTGAAATAGAAATGAGCAATCTACATCCACGTTCAGGTATATTCTGGTGGCAGAGTTTGGGACATAGAAGTAAATTACTTCTTGGCCTTTCACCTCCCAGATCTCTGCTCAAATTCAACCCAAATATTCAGATGAAATGAGAACAGAAAACCCCAGCCAGGCAACCTTGGTACAGGGGGTCTCCAATTTACCTTTTTTTCATTCATTCATGGGATGTGGGCATCGATGACTTGCCAGCATTTATTTCCCACCCCTAAATGACCTCCTCAGATACTGAAGCAATCTGAATTCAAAAGCAACAAGATCTGTGTAATATCCACGCTAGGGCTGATAAGTGGCAAGTAACATTTGTGCCACACAAATGCCAGGCAATGACCATCTCCAAAAGAGACAATCCTAGGAGTTACCATTGATCAGAAACTCAACTGGACTCGCCACATAAACGCAATGGCTGCAAGACCAAGTCAGAGGCTAGGAATAATGCGACGAGTTACTCACTTCCTGACTCTCCAAAGCCTGTCCACCATCTACAAGGCATAAGTCAGGAGTGTGATGAAATATTCCCCACTTGCCTGGATAGGTGCAGCTCCAACAACACCCAATAAGCTTGACACCATCCAGGACAAAGCAGCCCACTTAATTGGCACTACATCCATAAGCATCCACTCCCTCCACCACCAACACTCAAAAGCAGCAGTGTGTACTATCTACAAGATGCGCTGCAGACAAACTCACCAAAAATCCTTAGACAGCACCTTCCAAACCCAAGACCATTTCCATCTAGAAGGACAAGGGCAACAGGTGCGTGGGAACACCACCACCTGCAAGTTCCACTCCAAGCCACTCACCACTCTGACTTGGAAATATATCGCTGTTCCTTCACTGTTGCTGGGACAATATCCTGGAATTCCCTCCCTCAGAGCATTGTGGGTCAACCTACAATATGTAGACTGCAGCGGCTGTAGAAGGCAGCTCACCACCAGCTTCTCAAGGGCAACTAGGGATGGGCAAGAAATGCTGGCCAGCCAGTAATGCCCATGTTCCATGATCAAATAATTAAGAAGTCAAACTTACAAATGTGATCCCATACAGGGGTGTAATATTTAAAGACTTGACATATGAACATCTCCTGTACTTCTCAACAGCTACTTTACATTGCCCTGCATAGTGTTCTGACTTGGTACAAATCCTTTTGCGAACAGACTCCAGAATGGAACCTATTCACAACCTGAGGACTACATGTACTGCTGGGATGTTGGTCAGTCAGTTTTATTTGTAGCTGATGAAAGCCCAGTTTCCTTGGCCTCAGAAAAAAACAGGTGAAAGGAGCCTCACAGATCCTTCATATAAATGTATTCACAGCGCTTCTTCTGGTCCTAGCGTAGCTGGAAACTCTGTTGTATCCTCCTCTGCCATGAGCACACTTATTTACCTGAGCACCATCTTGCTCCCTCTAAAATCTCTTCCTGTTTCCTAAACTCATATCAGCCAGTCAGTAGTCTCTCCCTAACTCCTTCTGTCTTTCAGGCTGACTGTTAAGAGGGGGGACAACTGAAAGGAACTTAAAGTTAAAACCTACAGTCGCATGTCCATCAGGAAACGAGAAATAAAATGCCAGGTTATGAGCATAAATATTCCTTCGCTTGTGCAAACCTGAACATCTGCCTTTGATCTCCCATTTTCAGGTGTATTCTTTGCTGTCTGTATGGCCCTTCTTGTGATCAGTTTGGCTGAGTCAATTCTAATTGCAAAGCTCCTGAGCATGAGTGAGGAAGCTGAGCCCAGGACTGATGTCTCCAAGTGTTGTGTCTCGAAACTGATTTCTTCAAACTGGAGCACCACAGACAGTCTCTGCACTTCCCTTAGGACCCAAGAAGGCATCTGTAATGACAGTGGTGAGAACTCTTTTACTGTTTCAGATATTTGTCTTTTATTTTGCTCCCAGTTTCCACACAAGTTCCCAACACTTACCCTTCCACTTCTATCCCTTTTTTCTATCTTTCTTCTGAGCTGAGTGGACACAGCTACTCTTCATCATTGCCCAGAAGTGATTACTATCGCTTGGTGGGGGTGGGGAGTCAACTGGCTATTGGTTTACATAGCCATCACAATTCAAACCAAGTTGGATCCAACTAGGGATGTGGGCATCACTGGCTATCCCAGCAGTTATTGCCCATCCTACTTGCCCTTGAGAACGTGGTGGTGAGCTGCTTTCTTGAACCATTGCAGTCTATGTGCTGTAGACCCACAATGCTATTAGGGAGGGAGTTCCAGGATTTTGACCCAGTGACACTGAAGGAACGATGATATATTTCCAAGTCAGTGTGGTGAGTGGCTTGGAAGGGAACAAATGGTTGTGTTGTCATATATCTGCCACCCTTGTCCTTTGAAATTGGAGTGGTTGGAGTTTGGAAGGTGCTGAACCTTGGTGAACTTCTGCAATGCACCTTGTAGGTAATACACACTGCTGCCACTGAGTATCGTTGGTGGAGGGACTAAATGTCTGCGTCAAATCAAGTGGGAAGCTTTGTCCTTCTTGAGTGTTGTCAAGTCTCCCTGGCAAGTGGAGAGTATTCCACCACACTCTTGACTTTTACCTTGTAGATGATAGACAGGCTTTGGGGAGGCAGGAAGTGAGTTACTCATTGCAAGATTCCTAACTCTGGCCTTCTATTGTAGCCACTGTTTTTATATGACTTGTTAAGTTCAGTTTCTGGTCAAGGGTAAACACGACAATGTTGATAGCGTAGCATTCAGTGATACTGATGTCATTGAATATCAAGGAATGATGGTCAGATTCTCTCATTGGAGATGGTCATTGCCCAGTACTTGTATGGCATGCACATTACTTGCCACTTGTCAGCCCAAACCTGGATATTGTCCAGGTCTTGCTGCATTTGGACATGGACAGCTTCAGTTTCTGAGGAATTGCAGATGGTGCTGAACATTGTGCAGTCATCAGTGAAAATCACCACTTCTGACCTCATAACATAGGGGAGATCAGTCAGGCCATTACCCTGAGGAAATCCTGCAGAGATGTCCTGGAGCTGAGATGATTGACCTCCAACAACCACAACCATCTTCCTATGTGCCAAGTATGATTCCAACCAGTGGAGAGTTTTTCCCCTGATTCCCATTAATTCCAGTTTTACTCGGGTTCCTTGATGCCACACTCAGTTGAACGCAGCCTTGATGTCAAGGGCTGTCACTCTCACCTTTCCTTTGGAATTTAGCTCTTTTGTTGATGGTTGAGTCAAAGCTGTAATGGGATCAGGAGCTAAGTGGCCCTGGCAGAACCCAAACTGGGCATCACTGAGCAGGTTATTGCTGAGCAGGTGCTGCTTAATAGCACTGTTGATAACACTTTCCATCACTTTAATGATAATCGAGAGTAGACAGATGGGGTAGTAATTGGCAGGATTGGATTTGTCCTGCTTTTCATGGATACTTACTATCAGGGCCCATTTGATTGGAATTAGGAGCTGGAATCTTGCCTGATATTTAGCTATCTTGAATCCACTGGACTGGCGATGACTGGGTGGGGCATGAAAGTAGAAGAGGGGGAGTTTGATTGGAAGGGAATATTGAACCACTTGTCAATCTCTAACAATTGCTCATTTTGACAGCTAGATTACCAGGGCTGTCCTAGAACTGAAACACCCTCGGAAAACCTCTGAAAACATTATATATTCGGCGGGTGCGAGAATGAAAACAGGTATCAGATTTGTCGTGACTAGCGTAGTCTCAAAAGGTAGACCCAGTGGCTGTTAACATATAAAGCCAGGATGCTCCAGGGTATTGTATTTGGAAGCTGTGTAAAAGATTGAATCATTCATAAAACAAGGAGGCACCTATGGAGCTGGGATCTTGGGACTATCTTGCCAAGGAAAAGGATGTTTTATTTCTTTGTCTTCACACTTCCCCTGTGGAGATTTGTATGAAAGGATTCACAAGCTGATGAATAAACTGACAGGTCAGGAAATGTTCTCTCTTTCCGTATTCATATTCATACCAGTTGGCAGAATGGTTGGACATGCACAGTTTTATAGTTAAAGGATGGCTCTTCCTCCACTCATCAAAATGAGGAGTTTACAATGTCAGTCCAGAATTTAGAGCCTGATAATTGTTAAATGAGTATGTGCTCAAGGAGAATGCCAAGAGATTTTATCTCCCTATCATTATACTATCCCAGGGTTTGCTCACAACAGGGGCCTGGAAAAAATCCAGTCTCTGCACAATCCTAGAACGTTAGTAACCGTTGGTTGAATAAATGTTTTGAATTTTACTTCCATCTACTGTGAGTGTCTAAAAAGCAAACAGTTGCAAAAAGAATTTGCAGTTATATAACCGCTTCCACATTGTCATAATTTCCCAGAGGCCTTTACAAACAAAGTAATCTTGAAATACAATCATTGCTGTAATGTAGGGAAATGCAACTGTGGACTTTCACACATCAACCTCCTTCAAAATGCAGTGACAAATGATCTACTAAGCTGTTTCATTGAATGTTGACTGAGAGATAGATACTGGCCGGGACTCTGGGAAGGGTTTTCGTGTACCTCATCAAAATACCATAGGAAGACTTCTTCAAAATGTCTACCTGAAAGAGCAGACAGGGCATCCACTTAATGTTTAGACTAAAGGCTAAGACTTCTGACAGTGTGTAGCACTACCTCTGCACTGCAATACAGCGTAATCACAGTGTACTTATGGCTAAGTACAGGCAGTACAGGTTGTAAATGGGTTCCATTCCTGAGTCCATTCGCAAGTTGATATGTATGCAAGTTGGAACACAATGCAGAATGATATGTTGGCTCTTTAAAACTGCACTGTTGTGTGGGATCGTGTTTGTAAGAACAAGCATTTTATAAATCAAGACCCTCTGTATTAGGAGTGGGACTTGAACTCATAACCTTCTAGCTCACAGAAGAAATACCACCAATCGAGCCACACTTGGCACTCAGCCGCTCTTACCCATCTGGTTGAAGCACAGGTAAATAGAGTTTACATAGTTGAGGAAGTTTTGCCTTGACAGCCTGATTCCTATGTCTCACTCTCCAACTTCCTTAGCTCGTGAATTTTCAAAAGTTGTCAACAGAGTGTCACAAAAGCAATGCCTTTGAATAGGCACGTACCCATAATTGAAGTGTTTTAAATGATGAAAAGATTTATTGGTGAGTAAACTGAGAGAAAAGATTTCTTGTGATGAATTGGGGAGCACAAACAAAGAGGCAAAAGACTAAAATTAGAGCAAAGACATTAAGTGGTAAGGTCAGGAAGCCCTTCTTCATTTAAATAGTAGTGAAAATCTGTCCTCCAAGGAGCTGTTAAGGTTGGGGTGTAGTTGAAAATTTCAAAATAAAGATTGATAACTTTTGTAAAAACTCAAAAAACTGCGGATGCTGGAAATCAGAAACAAAAGCAGAAATTGCACGAAACGCTCAGCAGGTCTGGCAGCATCTGTGGAGGGAAATCAGACTTCACGTTGAGGGAGAACTTTGAGGAAGGGTCACTCAACCCAAAATGGTAAGTCTGATTTCTCTTGATTTGTGTTTGAAAATGTTTTAAAGGCTGTGAAACCAATTCAGGTATATATGCAGAGCAGCCATGATCTCAATGTCAGGCAGAAGATATTCAAAGTTAGAGGTTATAGTCCAACAGGTTTATTTGAAATCACAAGCGTTCGGAGTGCTGCTCCTTCGTCAGCTTCACCTGACAAAGTAGCAGTGCTCTGAAAGCTCATGATTTCAAATAAACTTGTTGGACTATAACCTGGTGTCGTGTGAGTTCTGAATTTCTCCGACCCAGTCCAACACCAGTACCTCCACATTGGAGATTCTCAAGAGGCCGAATGGTGCACTCTTGTTCCTACAAAATCCAAAGTCTGCTTAAATGCTCTTGTCTTTATTATTTAATCAAGTTTTTGACAGTGATACTGAAACTCCTGGACAACATGAAGATAAAAATCTCAACAAAGAGGCCCAAGGTTTGCAGGTCAAAGAGGTCCCTGTGAAAGAGATACTGAAGGAGATTTCTTCAATCAAGTTCTACTTGCATGAGACAGAAGATGCAACTGATCCTAAGAATGACTGGCTGGCATTTTGTTACAGATTTGACATATTTCTTTTCCATGTGTATTTGGTGATACTTGGAGTTTTCACTGTAACAATGAGCACCCTCTGGCTGATATGGAGTTACCCTTAGACCTCAAGTACTAAAGCCCTGAGACGGCAGGCTGAACCAGCAAAACAGTCATTCTTTACATTTACCCCTTTCTGATATTTCTTGTTCTGTTTTGTTAAAATTTGGATTACCTGGGATTTTGGGAGGAAGCTAACTTTAATGAGGAAGGGGCTGCTGAGTGGAGAATGTGTTCAGTCCGAATAATTTGTTTGTGACTAGACCAAGATGATTTGAGAAATTGTTTAGTCATTTGGACAGTTTCCCTCTTCATCTCATTAGAGATCAGACAGTATAATACAACGGACTGAATGGCCTCACTCTAGGCTGTACTATCGTCATCAACTAGCGAGAGGCAATTAGTCCATCTCTTATCCCTTGCAGATTCTCCAATTTAGGCAGCTTCTCAATCCTTTAAAAACTAATCTGGCAAACTGCATGTTCTGAAATCATCTCCTGAATATCCATCCAGTGACCCTCAATGGCTAAGTTTCTCAGCAAGAAACAAGTGTTACTGCTTCATTCTGCAGACTCTGAGTTTAAATTCTTGTCTGCAAAACAAACCAATAGAAAGTCCTTATAACCTGACGGCAGAACAGATTACATATCATGATGCATGTTTAGAGAAACAATATTATCTGAATACTGGATAACCATTCACCATAAGGTGTATATAATAAAGGGAACATTAAGGTGATTTTAAATCTGGCTAAAATGATTTCAAAGGCATTTGGAAGTTTTTTTGCTTGGAAACATCTGATTGAGGGCTGAAGCAAATACACAACAGACCCAACTATGTCTTACAAAGGGGAAGACAGGTCAATGTATTAACCTTAAATCTTTTTTCAAAGGTTTCTGCTTAGATGCTCTTCACAAAATGGGTTTCATTTTAACCTCATTTGGTGGACACAAATTATTTGCCCCTTTTGCAACTTTCCCATTTCACTTTCCAGTTTTAGTTAAATGCATAAAATGAACTGTTAAAATACTTGCCCCGTTGTTCCATTGGAAGGATTATAACAATGACAGCAAACAAGTCAATTTCTCCAACACTTTTAATATAATAAAACATCCCAAGGCACTTCACTAAAAGACAGTGACCAAAACCTTGATCAGAGACACAAATTTTATCAAGCATTCTAATGGACAAAAAAAATGAAAAGATTCATGGAGGTAATTCCATAAGTTAGGTTCCATCCAGCTAAAAGTACAGCTGCTAACATTTATCCAATTCATTTTGCTTTCGTTTGATTTTCTTTGCAATTTCAAATTCTAGGCGTCACCTGTGTCCATGTGAGTGGTGTTGCAGTGAAAGATGTTGCAACCAATAACATCACAAAGTAACCACTAGCTGCAGGACATCTTAATGTAAAGGAAAGAATTAAAAACATTGTTGCTTTAGTACATTGTGCCTGCAGTAGGTAAGACTTGGACATGAGCCTGCAGCTACCCATGTTATAATCTGAAAATCCCCAGCTAGTGAGCAATACGAGACAAAGCCAACTTTTATTCAGTCTTGTATTTATTTACACAGTGAAACATTACTAGCATTTATCTCCTTACACAACTACCTGACATTTCAATGCGTGTCATCTACATATGCCCAAGTGAAACCCTAATGCATGCTTCCACTCGCATATAATTAAATACAATTGATATACCGTTAACAACATAGACCATTATTGTGCAACAACAGCTTACATTTATGTAGCAGGTTTGACACAGTAAAAGTATCTTAAGGTGTTTCATAGGGCAGGGTTATCATTAAGCATATAATGAGAGATTAGGACATGTCACAAAATCTTTTGGTCAAAGAAATAGGTTTTACAAGACAACTTAAAAGAAGAAGATTGATGTCTAGAGGTTGTAAGAGTTATAGTGGAGAGGTGATTCTAGAGTTAGGAGATTCTAAGATTTGACCCCAGTAAATCCTGAAAAATACATTTCACGGCATGGATGTATTTAGATATCTAGTACATAGAATTTCAGCCTCAAGGGAAATCCAGGCACAAAATATTTTTTTCCAAATTCGAGTTGAGATTTTGGCATTGTATTCAGTTTTCAGATCTGGAAATCAGAATGATGAATTGAGATTTTTCTAGTCAGAGACTCTATCCAGGTATTTAGGTGGGACTTGTGGCAAAACGAATATGAAATACCTTAAAATATGTATTCACCATTCTCTACCTTGAGTTGGAAGTAGAATCAAAACAAAAGCGCATATGCATGTTTGGGAAATAATCATTTTATTTGGAATCAATTCATGCTAAAAAAAAAAGATAGGTGTACCAAATGTATATATCCTTAGCTCCATATGCCTCCGAGCAAATAACTCTTGCCCTTTTGTACTTCAGTACACGTGACATCAAATCAAATCTTAAGAAGATTCCATTTGTACATATGACTGTTGGAGAGAGCTTCAGGGTTGATGTGGAATGAAAGGTGACTTTGGATTGGCACTCTGTGCTCACTGCATCTGGCCAGATTGACTTCAGTGTTGTTTCCACAGTCGGCATGTTCTCATGTTCCTGTATTAAGTGAATGCCTTGTTTGCAGTGCACTTCCTGCCTTTGTAAAGGAGCTGTCATGTGTTAACTAAATATATGCAAAAAATAAACTTGCTTTGAATTAAATGCAATCTTTTATCTGAGTTGTCCATTGACAGACATAAGTATAGGACTAACATCCTATTCTAAAACAGTAGTTTTCATTCATACATGGGATACAGTAGGCCAGTGTTTATTGCCCATCCCTATTTACCCTGAAGAAAGTGGTTGTGAGCTGCTTTCTTACACTACTGCAGTCCAACTCTGGGGGCAAAAGAGGAGACACTAAATAAATCAGGAGTTAGGGATTGGGTAAGCTTAAGTCTGGGTTTTAAAAGCCTGAGGTTTCCTGGCAGAAAGATTGAGGAAGATAAACCAATCTACAGGTCTGCGATCTTCTGAAAGAAAATCTTTTGTTGAATTTGTATAAGATACTCATTCAACCTAAGTTGTGTCCAGTTCTGAGTGTCACGCTTCAGGAAGGATTTGAAAACATTGGAGAGAGTGCAGAAGTGATTTATGAGAACGTTTCAGGAAAGAGCCACTTTAGTCAGTGAATGGAGTATCATGAGAGAGCTGGACAGAATAGATGGGGAAAAATTATCTCCATTCCTGAAAGGATGGAGGATGAGAGGACATAGATTTCAAGTAACTGGCAAAAGAATCAAGAGCAACATGAGAAAAAAACATTTTCCTGCAACAAATGGTTTGGGTCTAGAATGGGCTGTCTGAATGTATCGTGGAGTTAGCTTCAATTGAAGCTTTCAAAATGGAATTAATTATTATCTAAAAAGAAAGAATGTGCAAGGTTAGAGGGGAAGAGACAGGAGAATGGAGTTAGGGGAATTACCCTTCATCAGGACTTTTGGTCTAGGCCTGAAACATCGACTCTCCTACGCCTCTGGTGCTGCCTGACCTGCTGTGTTCCCCCAGCTCCATATTGTATCGAAGTTGTGGAGTATCCCTGACATGGGATGAACAACGGTATAAGTTAATTTTGTTCCAGTGTTTTACTACAGCAAAAACTCAAGATAAAAATATATAAAATAAATATACAAAAACTGATGTTGTGTGATTAATGAAGCTAATGAAGCTAATGAAGACAACGGTGCCTAAAAGACAGCTTAGAAAAATTCCCAAATTTGACTGCAGAGTAAATTGGATGTGTTAAATTCAATGGTGCGCCAAAACAGGGTCTTAAGCGATGTCACCTCCATTCATTATCAATGCATTGCAAGATAGGTATTTCTCTGAGGAGTTCTGAGGAAGTTCCGAGGAAGGGTCACCGGACCCGAAACGTTAACTCTGTTTTCTCCTCCACAGATGCTGCCAGACCTGCTGAGCTTTTCCAGCAACTTTGTTTTTGTTCCTGATTTACAGCATCCGCAGTTCTTTTGGTTTTTATTAGGTATTTCCCTGTAGCCAGCAAATAGTGGGAGAGAACAATGGAACAATGTCATACATTTCTCTTAAACACCATGTTGCCTCAGCTCTTATGTGATAGGTGGCACAGAGGTAGCGACATGAATTCTCAAGAGTTCTTGAAATAAAGCTGCATTGGAAATTCAAAAGAAAACTTGGGAGCCAAAATGACGAAACTTCTTTTCAAACCCCCACAGCCACTCTGACTGACAGCAGAGATAACCTAATGATACATGGGCAACAGTGTCTATATTGCTGCATCCTGCCTTGTGATTGAAAAAATAGATTTCATTGAAATGAGAGCGTCTGTGCACAATTAGTAAAATAGCATAGGCCTCTAATCTATAAATGAAGGTTAACTGCATCTTGGATCCATTCAAATCCACTTTTTTCCGAACCTGAATGACACAGAGGGAAAAGCATGAATGAACAATCAACTACTCCATATGCATTTCAGATGCAGTTCATGGCCATCATTAGACTTCAAAAAGACCATAATGACATTGGATAAACACAGAGCTTAGTTAAATTGTTCCACTTAAAAAAGGTCAGGAGAGAAAATTATGATAATTTCTTGACCTTTTCAGAAGTGTCAATTTGAGTTAGAGACAGTTTGAAGTAAATGTTATTTTTCTTCTGTCATTCCTTGCTGATTGTATTTAGCTCTCACCTTTCCACTTAACTCAGTTCCACAGTTGCATTCACAGAAGATGCCAATGAACTTGAATGGATGTGCCTTTATCATAGACTAGACTTTGAAATGTAAAGCTACTTATAAACAGGAAAAGCCCCAAATTAATTTTTAAAAAGGCTGTGCCTCTATCAGGCGAGTATCAACCTCCAAAAGTAATGTTGCCATGAATGGCTGTGTCTCTCTGCTCTTACTTATCGGCTAAGTGAGTTGCACAGTCACCTTGTAAATGGTGTGGGTTAAAATCCCATTTCAGGCCATTGAACCACAAAAGTTAGATGACAAGCCAGAGCATTAATAAGGGAGTATTTCACCTTTGGAACAGAGCAGTAGGGCATTTGAGCATGTTCCACCATTCTAGATCA